TTTTGTTCTCTGTTTTCAGGGAAGAACACATTTGAATCCAGGACAATGCTGGGCCTTTGCAGATTTTCCAGGACGTTTAGACATTGCTCTGTCCCACAAAGCCAACATAACGCATGTGTCCCTGGGACATATTACAAAGATGGTATCCCCCACTTCCTCAATATCTAGTGCCCCTAGAGAATTTTCTGTCTATGTAAGTCAAGTAAAATGAGTGTCAAAACTGTGAAACATATATATCCACCTGTAGTATATTTTAGCCTTTAAAATGTGATAGCAATGATTCAGTAGGAAATCATTTGATCACATTCTAAACTATTCAAACCTTCTGTTTGCACTAATGAATTTTCTGCTCATCTCAGGATCTGATATGTTTTTAGAGACACCAACTTTCACATATATAGAAAGAACAAGATAATGAACTGCATTTCTATCTAATTTTGTCTCAGAGAAAGAAGCATTTAGAAGATGAGGAAACTTATTTGGGAACTTTCCTGTATGATCAAGATGGAGACCAATTACAGACCTTCAAACTTCCTGTAAATATGTCAAATTTATATTTTATTAACCAAATACAGTTATTACAGAAGCCCAGAGTGACTGACCCTGTTATAAATATTGAGCATCTTTCCTAACATACAACCATAGGTTTCTTTACTGGGTATTACTAGCATTCAATATAAAAAAACCCCACTTTAAATAAAATGGCAGATACAGTATTATTGTTCATTCAAAATGCTCCAATTAAAATGTCTATTTAAACCATAAAATATTATGTTAATTCTGCACTTCCAGAGGTGTTGAGTGAGAATGTAACTGATAGATAGCATTGAAAAATTATGAGTCAAGTTTGTAGCAATTATGTTGTCTAGACCAGTGTTTTTCAACCTTTTTTGAGCCAAGGTACATTGTTTTAATTGAAAGAAATCACAAGGCACACCACCAACCAAAAATGTAAACAAAGATACTCTGTAGCTGCCTATACTACATTCTTATCAAAGTGTCTTGAATAGGAATCAAATAAACACAAACATTTATTTTTATCATATTTTACATTTCTTATTTCAAATTGCACTTAACATGTCCACTTCAAAAATACACCTGAACACCTGAACAGCCACAACACTGTGGTGTGATGCATGAATGTAGTAACATTCATGCATCACTAATTCTCTTGTTTTAGTGTAAAATGCTCTGTACCTACTACCACTCATCCATCCATCCATCCATCCATCCATCCATTTTCTTTACACCCTTGCCCCTTACTGGGGTCGGGAGGGTTGCTGGTGCCTAATTACAATTTTGTAATTACGTTACACAATTAGGCCACTAGTCACTACTACAGCAGAGACACTCAAAGATGGCATTATTTGCACATAATTTGTTTTCAAAAAATATTTTAAGACCAATTACTGTATTTTCTGGACTATGAGTGCACCATACTATAAACCGTACCTTCAAAATTTTTGAAAACCCCTTCTCCCTGGAAACTTACATATATCAGCCGCACCGGGCTACAAGGCCGCTGGTATCTCTGCCGCTCTCGGTTTCCCATAAGGACCAGCAGAGGGCTGCATTCTAATAACTACTGGATATATTAAGGACGCAGTTCTCCGTCTCCAAATCGGTTTTGTTCACGCCGAGTTTACGTGCAGCGGCTCTATTTCCCTCCTGTACTGCCAGATCAATACTCCTCAACTTAGAAGCTGCATCATATGAGTTTGAAACCTTTTCTCCGTAATGCCTGCTGCTAAAATGTGCTTGTTTTTTTTCATATAATTTTATTTCAAACAATTAACATGAACATACATATGGACGTTAACTCAATGACAAATATTAAAAGATAATAATAATAAAAACAAATAAAGAATAATTACAGACATTCAGTCTCGCGAGACAAAAGTATATATTGGTAAAATAAAACGTTTTGTACTTTTTCAGTTATAGTTTTCATAAGAAAGTGTTCTAGGATTTGCTTGTTCTAAATGAAACTTAGCGCGTTCTTCTTTGATTTCCAATTTTGACTTCCAATGATTCACTTCCTGCTAAAGAGCCCCCTGGTGGTTTTTTGGCCATCATTTAAGGAGGAATTTTTTTTTTCTTGGCATAAATCTCATTAATAAGATTTTCATTATGTCTTATTAATAAGACTTTTATTGTGTCCTGACAACAAAAAAGCTAACCTTTCATTGTTACGGAGTGGAAGCTTCTTCAATCAGGACAGAGACTCTGATTTCTTTGACTGAACATTTCTGTTCACTTTTTATTGAGGAGAAACAGCAACAGCTGTTCGTTACCTAGCAACCAAAATCAACAGAAGTAAGACAGTGACAAAATACAGAACCAGATCCTGTTAAGCATTCTTCAAAATAAAAGACTTCCCCTATCCAAATAAATCATGCCTCGCACTTAAATATGTTTCACTTCAGCTTTTGCAATTATATACAATCATGTTAAATTTAGTTAATAATAATGTAAATTATGCTTAATGTACAATTGTAAATAAGTCACTTATAATGCAAATTTTACTTTACATATACAGTATGTGTAAAAAAAGTCACAACACAATAAGTTTTGTTGTCACAGTGTCACAACATAACATTTTGTTTTCTGGTTAGAAAAATATCAGTATAATTGCCTTGCTCGAGAAAAACTATGCAAAGTATATTTACAGCAAGACCAGTTTCACTAGGCTTCCATGCACTTTAAGACGGATCTCCTTTGTTTCTGCTGTCTGTTTGTAACTATGGCTTATCAGTCTAACCTCCCTAATTTGTATCTCTCTTGGTTTACAGGATGAGAACGTTGGTTCCTATGGCTTTGTGACTCTAAAGGTAAATAGTAACTGGGGTAATCCAGATTACACCTGCCTTTGTCATGTCATGTTATTTTTTAGGCTTAAGAGACAAAAGTTGGAAAAAGATCAATTCTCTTCGCGTTTAAATAACACAAAACAGCGTAAAAAGACCTCCACACAAGACCTTGTTTATTTACTTATTTTTACACCTGCCTTTGTCATGTCAAAGTGCATGGAGAACTAGCTCTATGAATCACAACACAGAGGAAAGGGGTAAGAGCTGTTGCCTTGCAGTAAAGAGATTCTGGGTGCTCCGGCTTAACTCCCACAGTAAAACCATCACTGTTAGGTTTATTTGGTCTGTCCAAATTCTCATTTGTGAGTGTGTACAACTAATATTGTAACTAAATCTGTCTTTCTTCTTTCAGAGGTTTGCTGACATGATTGTGTTTGTTGTATTTTTTATTATTTATTTTTGCCCTCTTGAAGCCAGCCAGCCTCGGCAGATGGCTGCTCATCCTGAGCCTGGTTCTGCTGGAGGTTTCTCCTTTTAAAGGGAGTT